TAGGTTTAAATGCTGCAGCTGGCTCCTCTTTACCGATTCCCAAATATTCTCATATGCCTCCAAAGCCCATCTTTGTCCCCCTTATCCCATTACAGAGCTCTCATCTCATGGACTCTCTAATTTTGGTGATGCTCTTGCTATCTCCAAAGTGCCACATCTGTATCTGTTCCTTGTCTTGCAGCACAGGAAAAAAAAAATCATGATCATGCTAGTGTAATTTTCCTGGCCAGAATAAGCTTCTCCTGGCCAGAAAGAAATCAAGGCTTGATGGGTAATGTAATGACCTCTGAGTTTTGGTCTAATCCTGGCTATTTTACTCTGTGACAGCCCTTCTGCCAAAAATACGTGATGCCACAGGGCCAACAATAAGATCACAAATGGCATTTCACAATTATAGAGAGGAAACCAAGGAAAGGGAAGGTTTAGGGCAAACTTATTCAGGTTGCTTTAGATGCTAAAAACATACTGCTTGGTGGCATGGATGGCCTGTAATTTAAAGCCAGGAATGGCAAAAAAAAATACAGTAAGAAGAAGCTGTGTGGTGTATTGAGGGCAAGGAGAAGATGCATGACGTTTGAACTGGAACAGGATCTGAGATGTGGTAGAGACACAGACACTTTCCGCAGTGTCCTGAACCTGGGGTCCAAGCAGTCTGCCTCTGAAGGAAAGACAGGCAAACAACAGGGCTCAGGATAAGAAAACAGGGAAAAGCAGAGTTTCTGCTTGGGATGTGTGGTGGATGGGCATTTTTTTACATGATATCAGAAAAGTTCTGCTGAGACATAGGAGAAATGAAAAGCTTCTAACAGGAGCAAGAATCTTCTTCTAGTGCTACCTGCCCCACCTCCTTGTCAAGCCACCATCAGTAGTGGGTAGAGAGGTGAGATGAGGAGATGCAGGGCCTGCAGATTCACCATAAGAGGAACCATATGCTGGCGGGCACCGGCATCACCGGGTGGGCACGGGAGTGGAGGCAGTATTGACTGAGGGGCAGTGGGGGCACTGAGGCTTCAACCTGCAGAAAGATTTAATGAAGACTCCTGTAGAGTCAACAGCAAAAGCCAGAAAAAGAATGGAGCTGTCTGTGTTAACGCATTTTATACATTTGCCCACCAGAATACCTTATAAATGGGTAACTTCTAGGCCTCACGAATAGGAAGCAGAATTTTTACTTGGTTTTCCTTTCAGTTACACTAAGATACTTGATTTTTATTATGGGCAAAGCAAAGCGAGGCAGTGTGGGGACAGATACAAGCTTTGGAAGTCATACTGGAAATACTGTTAATGACCCAACAGAGACCTCCGAAATGATTTTTTATTGAATCAATAATTCAGCTCTCCTTGGAGCAGAACTGTTGGGAGTTTATGATTTGCTTATCATAGCTGAGCTGAGAGTGGAAGCTTACGAGTTTAAGAAAGGCACTGCTATTACTCCATTTAATTCAACACAGGAGCACATTGAAGGAAATCTATAGCTTATGGAACTTCGCAGTTATTTACTTCTGAAAATTGTAGCTACCGAACACTATGACAACAGAAAACCTGGAGAAGACCCTTTTATTCAAAAACATCAGGCAGATTCCACTTATTGAGTCAAAGGAGAACTTACATCAGCCTTTTTACTTATACGAACCATGACCTGAATTGTTAAAAAGGCAGAGCTGAAGACAAAGGTGGTCTCATCCAACAGAACACAGCTGTACTTACATCAGACAGTTTTCAATGTATTCCTTAAATGGAATATATATTCCGTAGTAGTTTAACTTGCTTTCAGCATAATCCTGCCTTTGGGACTTAAAAAAAGGCAATGGAATTAATGCACATTTATTAAGTGGCCAGCATCAACTTAGCATAGTAGGTTTCCCCCAGGTTCACAAGTTGGTTTTGCATTTTCCTATAGAAACAGTTTCACTGTTTTTTTCTTTCCACTCTTCGTGCTGTGTGAAAGCACACACTAATAGTTGTGAAAGGATGCTAACTGACTCATCAGGAGAAGCAGTCTGATTATTCAGGACAGTCTCCAACCCATAAAGCAAGCAGGCTGAGTAAAACTAAAACAGGGATGGATTTTAGCTGCTCTTCTAATTAGCCTGGCTGTTAAAACGAATAATTGGGACATAATTTCCAAAGAGAAGCGTTTTCAGAGAAAGCATTAACCTCTTCAACTTCCTAACCTACCTACTACGAAAACAGGCATCATTTGCACAATGGGCTATCTGAGGCAAAAAGAGGTTAAAAATAACGACTTGCATTTTCTGTGGTTATTACTGATTTGGGGTGCAGTGTTTCCCAATGGTCCATTAAAAGCCTGTTAGGGGGAACATCTCGGAACATCTCTTTTATTTCCCCAGGCCTGTTCGTCTGGCCTGAGAATAAAATCTTGCCCCTATTGAAGTTAGTGTTTTGCTATTCTTCAGAGTGGAGCTATAGTTTCACCCAATGTGTTTCTCATTTCCAGGTGACAAATGCAACAGCAGCTGCGTGTTCAGAGCTCTTGTTGCTGTTCTTGTCAGGTCTGCATACACAGCACATATGGGATGGGCCCTGGCTTACATACCAGCCCAGAGAAAGTAGAACTGAGCAAGAAAAGAGCAAGATAAAATTATAATAAAATTGAGACAGACATACAGAGAAAGAAAATAAGTTCGCTTTCACTAGGTTCCAGCTCAATCTATCAGAGCTATTTTTCCTTCAAATGAAAAAGCTTCATTTCAGTGTTATTAAATGGAAGAACATTCCCAGACAAGAACCTTAAAAAACTGCTCCTTCAGATTCAAACGCCACCTACTTCTGTGCAGAGCAGTCATTGCTACTGATCATCACGCTGAAAAAGTAAAATGCAGTAAATAAAAAAGAGCATTCTCTAATCGGTGAAACATGTACTGGTTGAACAATCACTTTCATATAGTGGTCATTCGTGGACTCTTTTAGAGTCATATCTGTTTGTATCTGCTCTTATTTACAATACAGTTCTATCCGTAGAGCACATTTCATAACAGTTTGAAATAAAACCTTTTTGAGCCTCAGTAGTGTTATACCAACATGCTGATGGATAAATTGAGGCATGGGATGAGAACTCATCTTTGCCAGAGAACAGAATAGACTTGTAGGATGGGAAGTTTCTTCAGTTCAGAGCAAGATATGGATGTCTTTACAAATCACTTTCTCCTGGTAGATAGGATGCAGATTCCTAAGGTACTTTGTCTTTTGAAGGAATGAGGAGCATATTTAAGTTGTAAACTTATCTTTTTTTTTTTCTTTTTGGCAAGGAAGGATAGAGCCTGTAAGCTAGTCTTCTGAAGGATCCTCTGATGCCTCCATACAGCACAAAGATGAGAGTGGGAAGTTGGGGAGATGGGGCAGTGAAATGACCCATTTCACCAGCATGTGTTTGTCAGCTTAATATGACTAGAGAACTGCAAAATGCTAAAAGTCATTCTTTCAGAGAATTGGAAGACACAGAGTTAATTGGTGTAATCAGACTTGTTTCAATACACCTCAGTTCTTAGCTGATTAATTTTACCAGCTAAGAACCTTTCCTATCCAGCAAGCTGTTTGTGACTGATAAATTCACCACAGCAAAAAGCCCCACAGTGTGCTGAAGCTCAGCTTCCACCCTGACCTTCCCCAAGGCAGCACCGTGTGGGTGCCTCAGCTTCTGAATCACCAGAGTTTAAAGCTTGACCTAGGGAGAAAAACCAACCCTGAAGCTGCGTCACTTGGGCATCTCAAACTGCAAACTGCAGTGGATTAGGAGCTGCCTTGTGTGTGGACCATACCTCATTTGCTTCTACACCCTCCAACCTACTAATCTGCCTGCCTTGCTCATGGGTTCCCCATCAACAGCCTCCCTGGAGATGAAAAGTAATAACTCTCTACAGTTTTGACCACTGTCTTACCACGTCTGCACACCATCACACAGGAGCCTCTCTTCTTCTTTCCTCCTTTCCTTTTTTTTTCCCCTTCCTTATATGTCTGAAAAAACATTTTGTTTTATTTTAATTTCCTTTGCAAGGTCAAATTCAGCTTGACTTTTGGCAGTTCTCCCTTTATCCTTGAGCTCTAAGACACAGCTTTCTTTGATGATCAGGCTTTTTTCCATCCCTCATGGGTCTGTGCGTTTCCCTCGAATGAGAGATTTGACCGGGCTCTCTGTATATCCCCTAGGACTCATTGCCATCCTTTCCAACAGAGCTCGTGTTGAATGGATCTAGTGCTTTAAGATGGCCTTATCCTTGCAGCTATTTTTTATGACTTGGGCATCCTCTTTGAACTCCCCAGTATAAGCATAAGTAACGTATCTCCAGCCTTCAGGACGAGTGTTAATGGAGCCTGCACTTATCTTCCAAGGAAAGTTCTGGCTCTTCAGAGGGCGCAGTAAAAACTACCCTTTTGGAAGGTGGCATTTCTATGCAATTGCTAATGATATTTCTGTCAACCCTCCATCCTGACCCTTTCCAAGTACTAATAAAAGAATTTCTTGTAGGGTTTTTATCACCTCATTTTCCGAGGTCCTGCAGTTTGGAATAGGATTGTATTTGAGGTCTGGCAAGGGGAGAGATGTCTGAGTCATGTGTGCGCCCAAACCACGCGGGTGATAGGAAAAACAGACACATTTGTGTCAGGGAGAGGATTACTGCATTACAGACCTCTCGAGCTGCTCTGCTGCACGCCAGGCTGGCTGGCCCGAGCACTTCTCTTGGCCGAGGGAGTCAGCACCTTTTGGAAAGGTGAAGATGAAATAAGAAGCAAATGAGAGAACCGTGTGCTGCAGCACATGAAGGATGCAAAGCAAATTGCAGCAGGTTTGCTGGAATTTTGTTGGGGTGCGGGTGACAGTAGAAGCACAGCAGCCCAGCACACTAAAACCCCATTTGCCCCGGAGCTTTTACAGTGCCTGATGTGGGGAATGGCAGCAGCAGCCCCCTGTGCTCTCCCGCGCAGCTCAGCCTGCTCCCTGCTCAGCCCACACTGCTGGCAGGGACGTGCTGAGGGCCTGCCAAGAGGTGGTGCAGGCTGCGACCCACGGGAGAAAGCCTTGGGGACCTGAAATGCTTCCCTGCGCCCCGGAGGACTGCCTGGATTTAGGAGGCTTTTCTTCCATCGCTAAAATCCCATAAATTAATCCACTGTTTATTTGCCTGTGCTGCGGCTTGTTTGTCCCTTCCAGCTAAATATTTTGCACGGGTTGTCCAGCAGCTTCTTCCGGCCGCTTCCCGAGGCAGGTCACGGCATCGCGGGCCCCACACGAGCAGCGGCGCAGCTGCCGCCGGCCGCCTTGCAGGGGGAGCCCGGAGCAGCCCCGGCGGCCTCCCGGCCGCCC